GGGGTGCCCGCTGCCGCCTGTCCCCCGGGCTCAGACTGCACGGACACCCAACGCCTGCAGGCAGCAGGGTGCACAAGACACCCCACGGCCACGTATCGCAGGGTTTCGGGGTGCACAGCCACCCTGCACACATGTATTCCTGGTGTTGGGGTATGTGGATGCTCTGCACCCAAATATTCCTCCAGGCTCAGAGTGTACAGCTACTCCACATCCCAACTCCACCAAGCAACAGGGTGCACAGCCACCCAGCATCTCATGTCCTCTGCACATGCAACAACACCCCTTGGTGTCAGGATGCAGGACGGCTCCACACGGTGCCAGGTTGCACCCCTACCCAACATCCACATTTCCCCCAGTGTCACAGCTACACATGGACTCCAGCATGTGTGTGTGCACCCCTCGGGTGTCAGGGCACATGAATTTGTCCTTCCCTTAGGAGCCGGGATGTGTGTGCATGTGCACACAACCCCCAGGTGTCGGCACAGGCACAGACACATGCATGAAGTTTTGGGGTGCAGACATTTGCATGCCACACGTCAGACGCATGCACACCTCTTGGGTGGCAGGGGTGCACATGCACATACACAGCTCTTGGCACAGATGTGCACACATGTCTTGGGTATAGGAAGCAGACACATATGCTTCCTGCATGTTGGAGACGCAGAAGCGCCCAAGCTGGGGTGGATCTACACACATTTTTTCCTCCCTTTCTTTGAAACAGGGAAAGCTGCTGTCTCAAACCTCAGAATAGGCAGCAGTCCCTGTGCAAGACTAAAGGCACCACTGCAAGCAGCTGTTTAAAACAGGAATGGGCAGAGTTGTGGAGAGTATATGTTGTGAGATTTTATGTGCATGTTTTGGTTTGGGTTTTTTGTTTGTTTCAAATAAACTTTGTTTAGACCACAGATCAAAACCTGTCAATTATAGACAAGTTGGTTTTCTTTCTCTTCCAGGCAGACATGGGTTACTGCAAAATCTAAATATTTGACCTGATACCTCCCACCCAATTTATATTTTTTGCTAAAGCAGAAGCTAAGTGAGATAGACGTGTTTTCACCATCATATTTAATCTAAGCAAGCTATTCAGTGTTATCCTTTTGTGTTCACAGCCCAATTTTTGTAGCAAGAAAGCTAAGCCCAGAGTTAACATTTGTAGAAGAACTTGCTAGCAAAGCCAAATAGTGCCTTAAAAGATTGCATGAAAACTCTCTTTCCGGTATTGTTCCCAGAAAATAAAAAACTGTAAAGTGTGCTGGTAATTCCATATAGTGTGTCTACATTCATTCTATGTCTATATTCACATTTTCACTAGTGGTATTTGGGGTTTGGAACAATTTGGATCCAATACGTATTTTACTTGGAACATGTAGTATAATAGTGGGGCATAATGTTAAGAAGTTAGTTAAAAGTAGATCTTTTGGATGATGGATTAGTTCCGAACTAATTTGTGGTTAATGCTCACAACTGGCAGTCCAAAGACATGAATTTAGTCCCTACTCTTCCAGAGCTAATCTTGGGTACATACTGCCCACACAAGTGAACCAGGGCTTCTTGATTTGTGAGTGTCTAGAATGACACCAGTAATGTAGGACTTCTCTAAAGATATGGATTAAAAATAAGGCCATAGCATCTCAGATTGGGTGCACTGACTATCTGTTTTAATAAACTTCAGCTGTTAGCATTTTTTATTGTAAGTACAGTGTATATTTAGACGGATAGTCATGATTCGTTAGTCATTGTTCCTGAGGAACTTCACAACTGCTGGGTAAAAGATTTTACATAAATGTAAAGTATTACTCATTTCATTGTGTTGAAAATTAAATACACCTTCAGTTTTAGGTTCAGTTCAACATTCAATTGAGTCATGAGACTCCTAATGGCAAAGTAATTTGCTTTCCAGTATTATCCCCATAACTCCAGCTTACTCTTGCCACTGATAAAGCTGGTTCACACAAAAAGCAACATGATCATTTGTCACTTTCATCTTCAAAGTTTGCTGCAAATGATAATCCTTACAGAAGAGTGTTCTAAATGTTAGCTTGCTAACTCCATTTAATAAAGGGGAGGGAATGGTGATAGTTTACAGACCACAATTGCAAAAACAAGCACTGCAGGACTGGGATTGAGTTCTGTCTCCTAGAGCCCTCTTTGCTGTCCAGTGAGCAGTAGTGCTTACTTTAAGGAACCTTTTTAAAACAACTTGGATTTATTAGGTGGGGTTTACCCCCATCATCTGGGACAGCTTGTGTTCCTGTGGCACCTGAGCTAGATGTGACAACGCAACTGTGGTCACCTGTGCCTTGCGTCCTCCAGCTGAGATCGGAGATATGTCTACTCCAGGCAGCTGAGTCCCCTCTATTCCAGCAACAGCCTTATCGTGGAATGCCCTTTTAAATGCTTGTACTCAGGAATAGCTGCTTAGCTTTTAGCACAGTAACGCATTTGTGTGTGTTTGCCTAGGGCCAAAGAAGGAACCATTTTCAATGAATACACCAATAAGGTACTTACCAAGTGCTTGTTAACGCTGAAGGTCATCTCAGCTGCAGTTGTTTTTCTGGTTGTTATTGTTTCTCTGCTATGAAATTCTTTTCTTCTCCTCCATTCCGCTTCCACAGGGTGAACCAGTTCATTATGTTATTTTCCGACACAGGGAGTGGAAGGTTGATTGTTGAAAAACACTGCTGGTGTGAACTACTTTTGTGTAATATGGATGAGCGTGTTCATGGAGAGATTATTCCCAAAGGAAGCTGAGATTCTCTTTCCCCATATTTTTTCCTTGAATGACTGTCACAACCTTCTGATACCTGGAAGATAGCTTTATAACTGAAGATTGATAGCTATCTTCTGGATCTCCTAGTCAGTAATTAAGGGTGAAACATTGACTTCTGAGGAAGGAAAAGCGTTAAGTTTCCAGCTGTAGTGCCACATTTTTAGTATGTCAGAGGGATATTTTAGTATTTCAGCAGAAACCCCATGTCAAAAAGAAGCAAATGGAAGGAAGTGCTGCTTATGAGAAGAAAAAACATTTGAGCTCGGAGTCCCCTGTCATACATTGTAGAGAATTGGTTAAATACACTTCTTGTCCTTCGGCACAGTTTTTGGTGATTGAGGGGTCTTCTGTCAGTTGAAAAAGAGAAAAATAATTCCTTTAACACATCATTTAAAAAGAACACAGTTATCAATTGTAATGTTTTGTGTACTCTGTGGTGTAAAGGGAAGTGGTATTATTTTGGAAGTGTACTTGCAGAAACTGCATAAAGATTAGATAAAAAAAGACAGTGAAATTCTTCCGTTTCAAAGAAGGGGAAATTGTGAATGTTGTACAAAGAATGTGGATCTGTACCCCTACATAGTACAGTTGCCAGAATTTGGAATTGAAATATTTGCAACTTGTTTCCCGCCACTCATAATTTTTCCCAAATTAGACTTTCATTGTATTTTTTCTCTTGAAAAATGTGCTATTTAACTTTTCCTTTTTTAGAGCTATATTTAAGCAACATAGGACAGTTATCAATTGTAATGTTTTGTGTACTCTGTGGTGTAAAGGGAAGTGGTATTATTTTGGAAGTGTACTTGCAGAAACTGCATAAAGATTAGATAAAAAAAGACAGTGAAATTCTTCCGTTTCAAAGAAGGGGAAATTGTGAATGTTGTACAAAGAATGTGGATCTGTACCCCTACATAGTACAGTTGCCAGAATTTGGAATTGAAATATTTGCAACTTGTTTCCCGCCACTCATAATTTTTCCCAAATTAGACTTTCATTGTATTTTTTCTCTTGAAAAATGTGCTATTTAACTTTTCCTTTTTTAGAGCTATATTTAAGCAACATAGGAACATACAGCAGTTATTTTTCTAGTTACACTGTACACACTGTCTTTTTGCTTGTTTTCACTCTTGGCTGTGTACATCAGGACAGACCCAGCCTTCTTGACCAAAGACACTTGATTAAAAAGAGGATAAATAGGCAGCAAAAGCAGCCATCCACCCATTCCCTGCTATATGCACAAAGAATAAAGGCAGATGATGTAACTGTTCAGCTCAGTATCTAGTTAAATGGTTTGTAAGAGGGTAAATCTGAGTGGGGAAAGAACTGCCTTTACCTTGCTAGGAAGCTGTTCAGCGGAAAGTTTTAGTAACAGGTGTGTATGTAACTGTGTGTTATGATACTGTTTGCATTAAACTTGATTGTGCCTATCTTCCCCGCATTGTGGGCATTTTCAAGACATGCTCAGTGACAATATGATGTACTTGTTAATGTGTAGGGGGCTGGTATCTTCAGCTAGCAGACCTCGTGAAGACAGTTGGTTAAAATCACTGTTTGTTCGCAAAGTCGATCCAAGGAAAGATGCTCACTCCAACCTTCTAGCCAAAAGAGAGACCAGCAGTCTGTATAAACTACAGAGTGAGTGATATTTTTATATTTAACATTACCATTTCTTTGTTCTGTTCCTGCATTTCTCACGTAATGTTGTTGTTTCAGTTCACAATGTAAAACCAGAATGTCTAGACGCCTACAACAAGCTTTGGTAAGTGTGCGTATTATGTTTTCACATTTTAGACATGTTGATATGATCACAAGCTGTTCTGAAAATTGGCAAATATCTTCATTATTTAGAGGGGAGGTGGAAAAATTCTGCTTTTACTTTCAGGTTATGATGGTAAATAGATCATATTATTCTTGGAGGGAAATGGCAAAAGATACTTCACTCGGTTCACCCTCTGCCTTCCCTCTTGGAGGTGTCATCTTCCTAAGCTGCAGTTTAGGATGATACCTTTTGTGACAACATTGGTGACATTTGTTGGAAAGCTCTCCCCCTTCCCTTAGTTGTCTTACAATTGCTGGTCCATGCGGGTAGATCCTGGTACGCTAGCACGTCCCGCTCCAGCTGCCATGTAGGAATGTGTTGAGGGTGGTTATTGTCTGCATACAGGAAGGAAAGGGAGAGATTACGGGTAAGTAAAACTACATGCCAGTATTAAATTGAAGTATAACTTTGAGATTTTAAAAACCCAGGCGTTGACTTCTCTCAGTTTATCTATATCCTACAAAAATAATGTTACTGAGATCTACTTTTTAAGAGCTATGCAAATCCTTGGATAGGATCTTTGCATTGGGGTGATATCCTCCAAAGGGAGCAGTACTGTTACGGGTTTTCCAAAAAGTTACAGCTGTATGAAATGTATGAGTTAGTAACATTTTAAATTTACTGCTTTAAGGATGAAATTGCAGAAATATTAGCCCTGTTCTGCCTACATAATGACTCCTCTGGAGCGAGAACAACTCCCTTTTCAAGAACTGTATGTTTAAATTTGGAAATGTAGTGAGCCTCATGCTTTTCAAAACAGCAGTGCTTTCTCACTGACAGTGATCATCTTGTCAGTTAAATAAAACATTCTTAGCATAATGATACCCTACTGCAACCAATTTTTAAGTGTGGTGTATTGGTGAGAACACCAGCTGGGCTGGAGGGTGGGGAAGAAGTTCACAACTCCCAGTTTATGTCCTCAACTGTGTTACTGGTTGGCTGTACAGCCATGAGTAGTTTGTTTAACATCTATCTGCCTTCATGTGTTCAGCATTGAAATGGAGCTAGATTACCCAAAACTGTTTTCCTTGCTATACAAACATAGAAATCCACTAGAATAACATTCACTCATAAGGTATATTTAGGTTTATTGTTTAAAAAAAATAAATACACAGAGAAGCACAATTAGCATTCAACCAGCTTTCTGTTTAAAAGCTTAATATAAACATGTCCAGTTATACAAGATGGGGAACCACTTCTCTGCATTATCTCATGAGCTACCTAAACGTTGAGTGAAAGCAGAGGCTTTTATTTTCAAGGAAGGAGACTGCTGACAGCAGTCAGATGAAGTATGTGTGGTTAGGTTTATTCTTTCCAAACCAAAGCAAATTTAAGTATTCCAGGGAAGGAGAAACCTTAAGAATCGAATAATAAAAAAAAACTAAGCTTCCCTGGACTTCCCTCCTTCCTCTCCCTAAATTAAAGATGAATAGGTTAATTCCTTGTTCTGTATCAAATCAGAATAAGGATTAGGCATCATGTATTAATTGTCTTCATTACATTATTCTTTTATTATGAGAGTACTTTGTGAATCGCTGTGGTTAAGGGCCCCCTCTGAAGAATTAGGAATAGTTATTTTTAAAAAGGGAAAAGATGGTGTTCATAAGGTATTCCATGGGTATTGTTTTCTATAATTTGCAATGAAATATATTTTAGGGTTATTGTAACAATTTAACATTCCTGTTTAAAGCTGCCTTTCTGGGATCTCATTATGCTTTACAAAAATGAACTGATGGTGAAACATCCTTGAAAACATCCTTGGAGAGTCATTCCATCCCATTATTTACCCTATGTAGTGAGAAATCTTGAGGTACAGATTGGTAGTGAGATACGCTCAAGGTTGTCTAGAAAGTCAGTGGCAGAGGAAAACTTGTATCTAATGACTCTCAGCCCAAGACCAGCCTACTTCCTATTATTTGATATTATGCAGAAACTCATTGCCTGTGAGCCAAACCAAGTATGAGGGGGGTAATTATTCAGGGAAAAATATGAAAAGGCAAAGTTCAACCCGACTAATTGACTTATTCATCAAAGTACAGTGCAATGAAAGCTGTCTTAACAGAGTTAGCAATTGGTAAAACTTAATTTCTTAATGCTAATGTAGGCCACTTTTAAAGTTTGAAAAAAATGTTAGAGATACTGGAAATAGTCAAACAGAAATTTTGTGTTGGAGGTATTTTTAAGGCAATTTCACTGTACGATTTGATGGGTAAGTTGCCTCAAACTAAGACCACTTTCTGAAATGGTAGAAAACTGTAAGGCTGCATACTATGAAGTACAGTCATCATTTGATCTATCAAAATACTTGTTTTTATTCATTCAGCTCAACAGAATTAATAGCATTGTAACTGGTACAGAAGACTGTCCTTTCCTATTTTTGTGTATTCTACCTCCCTTGATAAAGAAAAGCTTTTCCTAAAGCAAATCACCCATGTAGTTAGGCTGCATTTTCTGTAAGCGAGACATCCTAATATTTATTTTCCTAATGTGTTGGATAACCTTTTAGGTGATAGACATAATTTACTGAATCAAAAGAATTCTGCCATGCTGTGTATTTGTCATACCGTCTAACAAATGGTAACGCTTACCTTAATCTTTCGTAGTGTTGTAGCTATCTTTTGCCTGTGTGGCAGATTTTTGTATTTCAGCTTTCTCATCTGAAAAGTAGAGCTTGTGAATTTTCATACCATAATGATAAACATGTGGTGATTTGTTATACATATCAACTGTAGCCTCCCTGAAGGAAATGCAACATAGTGTCTGTATTCCTTGTTTTCAAGTCAAGAGGTGCTGCCAAAGATTCATGAAGAAAAACACTACCCATGTGCACTGGTGGGGACTTGGAACACGTGGTACGGAGAGCAGGATCAGGCTGGTAGGAGATAGAAGTACAACAGAATGTAAAACCATACAAGTGAAACGTGTGCTTGGCAGGTTTCTTCTCTTTAAATCATCTCTGTTGACAGTAAACCTTTAGCAATGTATACAGCAAGGGTGTGTGTGCATCAATTATCAGTAGCCATATTAACATCTACAGCGCTTGCTTTTTGTCTTGTTGAGTTTGACAGTAAAGCATTAGTTCCTAAAAAATGTCCTATTGTTAATACGCTTTCATGTTTTGCAGGTGGTAGATGAACAGTTTGGGGAAATGCTTGTAAAATGTGGTCCTGTAATATTTTGCAGGCACAGATCATGTTCCTGAATATTTAGGGTGAAGGGAAAGGCTACAAAGACAGAGTTAATCTTGCATTGGCCAGTATAAAAGCTTTACTCAGACTTTCATACCGTAATTGCTCTATGATAATGAAATGCAAATCATTCACACCATCTGAAAAAATGATTGCATTGTAAACTCAACAATAAGCTAGGCCTTTATTGGAGGAAGGTAAAAAAATTCTGTTCATATAAGGATACTGCCTAACTATGCAGATTGAAAATATATTGGAATTAGAAATTACTGAAGACCTGCTACGGAGGTAACTACAAAGAGTCTAGTGTAGAGAGAAAACCTTAAAAATTTCCTAGGCTCTGGGAAATTGAAGGAATGGGAAGCCACGAATACAGAGTGGTGTACTGATTCTTGTTACGTGGTTTGTTACGTAGCTCCATTGTTAGAGCCATGCTAGTATCAATGTCAGTGCTTTGTTACTGAAAAATATACTCATGTACACATTAATTTTTCCTGCATGCGCAGCATATTGCAATGTTGACACTGAACAAATGCAAAGAAATAACAGTAGATAAACCAAACTATCTGAGAAACAGCTTTAAAAGTTGAAGGGGAATTGGGGAGTGAAGACAATTGAAATGAGAATATCTTAGCCAAGTCTCATTCGTTGCTTTTGTAACATATTAACACAGACTGTACCTCTAATTGCATCCATAGCCTGCCTTGAAAGTGTTTTTGCAACAGTTCTAGCAGCATAATAAAGCAGATTATGGGGTTTTGACTTGTTCAGTACTTGCACCCAGGCTGTGTTAATATTAGGTGGATATATCAAATTTGCCCTGGGGGTAAGACAGCAGAAGCAGGCGCACTGGATGAATCTGCTATCATAGTGAAGTGCCTTACATTAGTCTCCAGTTCGCTCTCCTGGAAAAGGCACGGGAATGCTTTACAGGAGAGAAGATAGCTTTTGTGACTCTTTTTTTTTTTTTTTTTTTTTTTTTTTTTTTTTATGAGGTGAAATATTGTTGCCTTGCTATATTAAGTGCTTGTAAATAAATCTTGCTATGATTATGATGATTTATTAAAGAGAGAATGCTTTGAAAAACCTCAGATGTAGATACCTGCTCTGAAATTGTTTTTATGGGGGAAATCCTAGCAAATGTAACAATTCTAGCATGTTCAGATATCTTCTGCTTTTATTAATGTAATGTTTACCTCAAAAATAACATTCACATCATTTTTCATGTCCTACAGAAAGTGTGTTGCTCTTTGTGCTTGAGTAATTTACTGAACTACCCCTGTATTGTTCTTAGATGAAATTGGTATTAAACACATTTTTGGAATTAAGTCATCCTCTTAAATTGAATCTCAATTTCAACTAGTCATGTAAAGTTGTCACATCTTACTAGCATGGCAACAAAACATCCTTTTAGAAATTTCCCTGTTGTCTTCAGAGTAGATTGCAAAATTTTCCAAGAGGACCCTTTTCAAAAAGCAGATTACTCTTAAAACATTCAAATGTATAGTGCTTTCTTTAATGAAAATCTATTTTTAAACCCATTACTTGATTTCTGTTTTTGTGTAATTCTGTGGTATGAAGAGCATTTTATAAATCCATAAGATTTAGCACTGGTCTGTGACATCCCTAAAAAAGCCTCCTCTTTTCTGTTTCAGTTCATCTGTGGAGATATGAGGGAGGCTATCCAGCTCTCAATGAGGTCATGAGTAAACTCCGTCAAAATAAGGTAGAATGCACTGATTTTGTTAGAATTGGTTCATTTACGCAGAAGAGAACAAAGAGTAATCAGAGAAAAAAACTGCACATTTGGATATCTGCTTTTACTTCAATGTCTCATCACTTCCTGTATGAACTTAGAAACCTTTTTGGAAAAGGATTTATTCTCACACTCAGAAATACTGAGGTTTAATACCTGAATACTTTATGATTATGCTTAGTGCTTGTAAAACATGCCCCTTGAAATTTTCAAATACACCAGAGGAATTTAGATGCCTTTACAATTTAAAGGATTTCAGTGCCTCAGAACCCCAAGGTCACATTAAAAAAAAAAAAATCTAAGCCACTGTAAGGTATACTGCTTTTTGTTGTTGAAAAATAATACATGGTTTGACAGTGATCACATTGTTTTTTAGGAATTCACAGAGTTTCGCAAAGAAAGAGGTAACATGCTTCTCTCGCGCAAGAACCAATTACTGTTGGAGTTTAGTTTCTGGAATGAACCTGTCCCCAGAGAGGGGCCTAATATTTATGAACTGAGATCCTATCAACTTAGAGTAAGTTTAATTTTTTCTTTTTTTTTTTTTTTTTTTTTAAGCTCTGCTGTTGTAAAATGTTCAAAGTGTGTTTATACAATGTAGATGGAAAACAGACCTCATCTTAAAAATCTGGTTCTTATCAAAGCCGATGTCTGAGTCATTGTTGCTCTCAAAGTGTGGGGCCCAAAATGAAGGCAGGCTCCAACAAGATACTAATATCTGCAGGGCTGAAAACCCCGTGTTTTCATTTGAAGGAAACTTCAGGCGAATGACTAAGAAGTAATACAGTAAGTAAACAGAGTAATTACAGATGATTATAATATGCTTATCACTTGAAGGAAGGGATTTTGTTCATACATAGTGTTTTCCATATGTAAATGTTGTGAAAACTGTCCAAGTATTCTGACTTCCTTTAAACTACAGTTTTAACAGTCTGTTTTGTTTTTGTAGCCTGGAACAATGATTGAGTGGGGAAATTACTGGTAAGTGTTGCATTAGCACTTGCGTTCTCCTGTTTGGGAGATGTATGTTTAAAAATCGTGGAGGCGGCAGGAGGGTACCAAAGCATTTCAGTCACCCAGTTAATGGTCTTCTGTACTTACGCAACTTGTAAGTTAGTTCTTTGACCCTTAATTTATCCTTTGAGGAAAGAAGGAGGAATTCTGTGTGCAAACAACATTGTGGCCTCTGTGGTTTGGCTTTCCTTCACATAACCCTTTTAATTTGCTGTAATATAGCAGAAACCATCTGTTTTCAGCAGAAAGCACTGCTTAGTGAAGGGTGGTGGTGAACTCCTTGAGACTATGTTGATCTTTCACAGCTTCCACAGGACCACTAGAAGCTGGCTGACCTGTTGTTTAAATGGGCTAAATCTTGGCTCTTTTAATCTTTAAAAGTCGAGTTGCTTCTTGAAAAGCTATTGAGCAGCACATTTGTGTTTTAGTATCTAGGTTAAAAGCATTTGAGACAGACTTCTGTTGAGTATATGCTTCTGATTTTGTCTTACTTAAAACCAGTATAAGTTTCTTTCAATTTACATTCACTGTCCTTGCAGTTCTAATGGTTGATAGTTAAACAATTTGGAGTATTTTCAATTATTTTGACAAAGATCAGGACTTGGATTTTTAGACATGTCATTCTCATTGATACAATTTATTTAATTACAGTAATTTGAATAAAGTAAATTGAATTTAGAATTTTTATAAAATAGGCATATCTGGTATGACTGGTAGCTAGTCTGTTTAGGAACATGCAACATATTTATAGAGAAACGGTGATCTTATTTACACAACAAATCATGGAGTGTTGTGTAGGACAGCTGCGTAGCAAAGGTCTATGTGAATAAAAAAGTTGTATTCAACTACCCCAAAATCTGTGGTAAATGAGTGTGGCAAAGACTGTATGACTGAAACTCAAGGATTTAGTTTTAGAAGAACCTGCTATAAAAATGGCCTGCCACTTTACACTGTTCCAGCAATTATCTTTAATCATTCTTCAACATTAGATTCAGTATAATGCGCAGTCTAGTGAAACTGTAGGCCTCCAATTTTAACTCATTCTAACAAGATATATAGGTACATTTAAATTACTTAGTGCTGAAAACTAGTGTGTTGCAGATGTTTTTTCTTATTTTTCATCGCTGAAGTGTACTGCAAATGCCTTTTAACATTTCGGCTTCCTTTCCCCTGTGTTTTCCTTTCAGTTATCACTTCATTTCCTACCCAGATCTGCTGTTTTTTAATGGCTGCTTTGCTCTTCTGTAGGGCTCGGGCAATTCGTTTCCGACAGGATAATAATGAAGCAGTTGGAGGATTTTTCTCACAGATTGGACAGCTGTATATGGTTCATCACCTTTGGGGTAAATTTGTGTTCTCTGTTTTTTTCTCACTGAATCAGCCCCTAACAGACAGTTGACTTTCTCCACGAGACAAGTTTTTACAAAAGGCAAAGGAATGCCTTAAAAGGGTTTTTTTTTGTTTGTTTTACAGCAACAGTGTTGACTTTATTAATTTTTGTGTAGGTAACTTTATTCTTCAAACAAGCAAACAGAAGTGAACATTTTGTGTTTTGATGGAAACAGAACAGCAGTTTCTCATGGCCCTTGCCTATTAGGGATTACTTGTTTGCTTTCAATAACATAAGCATGACAAGCCATGTCCTGCCATCTCTTTTCTCCATCCCCATTCATGCTGAAGTAAGGTTTTTACAATTTAGTTTCAAGCATCACATATACCACGCCTACGAAAAGGAAAGTCAAGCATTTATTTACATCATGGTGTTTTGGCTTTCTCTGTGTGTTAGTCTCCTCAAATGCTTAGCTGCTTTTCACGTTAGGATTGTTTCAACTTGAAGAAACTCATTGTCTAATACTTATTTTAGAAAATATGCAGTATTATCGTCATATCTTGACAGTTCAGAATATTATCTTCCAGCATTAGAAATCTGACACTGCTCATGCAGAACTGTACTCTGTTGCGTTATCTGTCTTACCTGTGTCTGAGACATTCTCTCTCTTCACCAGTTCCTTCTGCTTGCGTTGGTTTGGGAGCTTTTCTTTTTTGTGGAGAACAACTTCGGACTTCTTTCCTTCCCAGTGTTTGCAGCCTCCTAATTACACATTAGAATACTTTTAAGGGAGCTATTTGTGTGTAGAAGGAAAAGGAGTTACTTCTAAGCTTTGTGCATGTTGTTTCCCCTCACTAGCTTACAAAGATCTCCAAACCAGAGAAGATATAAGGAACGCTGCGTGGCATAAACCTGGCTGGGATGAACTAGTCTATTACACAGGTAACCTATTAACTTTGTTGGAATGCTGGAGGTAGACTTTTATGCGTGCCATCATGTGTGTTCTTCAGAACATTGCACAACGATAACATTTTGCATCTCTGGTGTGTGTGCATCTGTGTATCAGTTCTACTGTCGGGAGAAGGAGGGACATTTGACTAAGCTGTCAAATGAATTTTGCAACTGATTGTACAAACTTGGAAAAGTTGCCTAATTGCTAAAAAAATGCTACATTAATAGTAAATTTTTAAGCAAGCACCTCTCCTGTAGAAGAGATTTGTGTAAATGATTAAGTTGGTGTCCAAAAATTTAGGGAGCCAGAAGTGAAATTTATATTAAATTATTACCTCTAATATTTCATGAAATACAGGAGCCTCGTTAAATGCATTCCTTTGAAAAGGGAATTTAGACTTTGGAACTAGAAGCCAGGAGATTTTTGAGGTCAAAGATAGCTTTCATAACAAAACTCACAGAGTATGCTAAGCATGTCAGATTTTGGTTCCATAGGGTACATTTCAAAGGAAGTATACCAGAAAAATGCAAGGTAACTTTCATTATGGTGAAAAGGAATAGAAATATTTGTCTTCAAAGCAGCAGACAGATTATATTAGCAAATCACTTGTTCTCAAAACTACTGTGCCGCAGTTACAGGAATGTTGGTGGTTACTGGTGACTTGGCATGCACTAGCTAGAAGAGTAATTTGAAGACAATAACTTCTGTTCAAATTGAGTGTGCAGAACTGCTAATGATCTCTGTTACTGAAATTAAAACCTGTCTCATTTTTTTTCAGTGCCCCTTATTCAGGAAATGGAGTCCAGAATCATGATACCATTGAAGATTTCTCCACTTCAGTAAAGTCACTGATTTACTTGTGCCTACATAGATAAAGTGACAAGTATTTGTCTTAAATTAATTTTATGGTATACATTGTATATCATAGTCTGAAATATAAAAGTACTGTATTGAGCTTATAAAAGAGACCTCTTTTCTTCAGAATCTTAACAACCTTTTGCTCTTAGGATTGTACCAGGAAAAAAAGGAATACAGGACTGTAATTAAAAGGTTGGTTATTTGAAAACAAGTACAAAGACATATATGAGTTCCGCCATGAGACAGCTCCTCAGGTTAGGTATGGCATACAGTGTTTAGTATCTCCTGCTACACGAACAATGCCCGGTGTTCAGTAACAGCCACAGAATGGAGCATTACGGTTGCTGTGGCCTTGTGTAGCATCATAATGACCACAGATTTTAGAAACAAACATGGGAGTTCTGAAATTAGAAGCTCTGAAGCCCTCGGGCAGCTCTGAAATACCCCTATCTGTTCCAGCAGGCCCGAAATCAGTAAGTAGCTCTAAGTTTACAAATAGGCACTCATTAATTGAGGATAATACAGTTTGTCAGGTGATAGCTTATGGACAGAGAATAGGGCATTCTGTTTTGCAAGGACTCTGAAGCCTGTTGAAACTAATGGCACATTTGTGTAGATATCTACACCTGAAGTTAATTCTGTGAAGTATGACCTACAGTTTTCAAAGAGATACTGACAAGATGTGGTTATCTGAACATTCTGCAGGGAATCAAGTTCAGTTAAATACATTTATCTCTACAAATAACTTGGAAGTCTGGGAAAAGGGGTTTAATTTAATAAGCCATCATGACTTCAGACATATGCTTGATTGGGTGTTTCACTAACTGTACAGTAGGTACTTACGAGTTGATGTGTGAAACTGGCGCATGTTGAGTCAATAGGATTGGCATAAAGCGGTGTACCATTATGTCCAGTTCTATTTTGGTTTCACTTTTAGACTAGAATATATCAACACTTTTGGTGTCTGCAATGACGTGAACATCCTGTAAGTGAAAATAATATTCTCTCTTTAAAGTGGCTACAAGAATGGGTGTAACATACAGAATGTACAAATCAGTTACTGAATGTCCAGTTTGTACATTTCAATGAGTTTTCAGGAAGAACATATCAGTCAATAAAATCCTTTTAATTTTCACATTTTACTGGCACCTTATATGTCTTGCACCACCTGTGTTTCCTCTCATCTTGCAGTGTTTATTGTGGAAAATTTGAATAATTGCATAGAATATTTCAGCTTAGTTAGCCAATATCACTTCTCTGTGTCAGGGACAGCATTTCCCAGTATTCTGCTCTCCTTCTCCAAAATGGATTTACAATATTTCCATTACATCCCATTTTGCTAAGTGTTCTGGAGGTCATAAATGCTGTGGTGATAAATACAAAGTATTTTTCCTTTCAATTTTTCTCCACAAATTATGCTTAATTTTTCAGGTCTGACTTCTTTTCCTCCCATGTGAAATACACTGCACTTTTGCCTCCGCTTGAATTTCATCTTGAACAAAGTCAGTATTTGATCTGATTTTTGTATGTTTTCTCATTTTCCTCCTGTTGTCAACTGATGATGGAATTTTACTGAGTACAGTCCTGTACCATATTAGCTTAAAGTTCTCAGCTTGGCTTACTCCGTGGGCCAAGTACATCATTTCAGCTGTTCCTTCTTGTAAATCAGTCACAAGCAGCACTATCATCTGGGGCTGTCATTTTTGCAGACTTTTGGGACTACTGTTTAGCTGCAAAAGGAAAAAAAGGGTGAAAATATCAGCTTCCAGTCCGTGTTATTTCTCCCAGTATCCTCTCGCATTTCTTGTTCCTAGAGAATTGTCCTTGTAACGTACCCCCCTCATAACCAGCAATCTCAGTCAGAGACAAAAGGCAAAAAACATTTTTGGAGTTCTGGAGTTGTGGGTTCTGATGCAATCCCTGTTTCTTACCTTCAGCCAGGAGCACTAGGAATTAAACTCAAGCAGAGCTCTTGTTGTTTAAGGGCCAAGAAGTTTTGCATGAATAGGAAATCTGAGGAATAACTGGATGTTCTGCAGGGTGACATCATACGGCACAAGTCTCTTCAGTCTTCATACGCTCCCTAAGATCTGAATTCCCACTTGTGGTGTTGCAATGTATTATGAATGTGCCTTCCGTCGTTCTGAGCTGCAAACGTGTGCTCTGGCTGTCATCAGAGAGAGATTAGTTCCTATTACTTTAGTTACAGATAACTATGTAAACTCACCGAACATAACAAGTAGGTAAATAAGTAATGGCGATCTTTTCTTGCTTCCCTTTGCCTGAGCCCTTTCTGAAGTTGGTTTTCCCCTGCTGTGAACACTGTTGTGATTTTTCCCTCTTAATTTCTTGGCCAAGTCTGCTTTCTTCCTTTGACTAACAATACTTCAGCATTTCTTAGAGCAGAATTTGTAGAGTTCAGAACTGAAGTCACTTTCCAGTGGTTGGAAAGTGGGGAGCAGTGCCTGGAAGGGTCTCTGGTAATTATCAATTCTTGCTCCACTCTAATGAAGACACAATTCCAACTCAGTTCAGTTGTCCTGTAGTCTTCCTAGAAAAGGCTGCAAACTGTTCTTTCAAGAAGTCCCCCCATGCAAACTGAATATATAACTTAAAGCAATTCTGCCTCACTGAACAATCACATTAAAATAAAAGGCTTTATATGAAGCTCTGTGCCTCCCCATGTCCTTAATGAGAAGACCCACCTGAAGGCCAGATACTACTTGCCTGGCAAGTGCTACTCTCCAGACTTTGCTCTACTGTGATGGGATATGTTCAGATAGATCGATGGCTTGGTTGTAATATTGAAACTTTCCTCACACTGCTTTATTCCCTCCTATTTTTTCCAGTATTTTACAGACAAAAGATCTTAGCCGCTCACTAAGCTAGGTTATCCTTTTGGTACCTCCTGGACTAGAGATCAGGCTTGATATTTGCCCAGTAGAAGGGGGGGTGGGGGCGTGTATTTTTTTTTTCAAACCGGTCAGACCTAAAGAGGTCTTGTGAAATCGCTGGCACAGCGCCATGTTTCCATAGCACTCAGACTGGCAGAAGATACTGCTGTGAATGTTAACGTCTCTGTGGCACAGAGGCTCCTGCACGATCTTCTGACTGTGGCATTAGCAAAATTACATATACTTGAAGCACAGCACAGTGTTTGTGGGATCAGGGCCTGCAGCTATAGCTGATTAGCTGGATGTTTTTTTAGTGGCCTTTTAATTCAATAGAAAGCTGCAGCAAATAGCAACACTTCTGCTTCATAACTGTAAACTGCAGAGGAACACACTGAATGAGAGCAGAAAGAGTTTATACTTGTTCTACTCGTGCAGTCTTGACTAAACAAAAGCATGATTGTACATGAGCTGCCCTTGGAACTGGCTGAGATTTTTCCCAGGAAGAATTTAAAAGAGATCATGTCAATACTCCCTGAAGAGTTCTGGTGAGCAGCCTGCCAACTGTGGTCTTGGCTTTTGTGAAGTTTTTTAAACTCTGTATACAGATATTCAGTATAGCTGTTTATATGTCTGCCTTTCTCTAAAAAGCCACCAGAAGTTTGTTTCTGGATTTGTTTTCTTTTAAACCTTCTACTTCTCTAGTATTTAAATGCTGTTGTAACTCCAAGCAATTATAGCCTCAGGTTTTTTTCAAAAAACATTAGATGGCATCACTGAGAGCTGCCATTCATCACTCTCTGGGGCTTTGTTAATGCCTCTTTCCCCTGTACCCTTTCTGTTGATGTTGCAGAATGGACAGAACCAGTATTTGTTTTAATTGTTGGTGATGCTTAAACAATTGGATAGGAGCTCTCTCACTGCACCTTCATTTAATCTTACTAAATTAAGGACATCTAGTGCAAATTGTGAAAAACTGATTATCTTGTGGAGACAGTGTGGGATTTTGGAAGGTAAGCACATCACTTGTTTCTCTTCCTACCTATGAAGTATGTGGTGGGATGGAGGAGAATTGGCACATTCAGCCTAATACTCAGTTTCCAGAAAAAATACTGGGGCTATTTGTAAGCACCCAGAAGATAAGAGCCTGCATAGATTATTTTTTTCCCCCAGGACAAATGATGTCCTATCTAGCCATCTTTCTCCTGTGATGGTATTACGTGTATGGAAGGAAGTGGAAGATGTGACATATTTTAACATTAGTAAAGCTTTTCACATTATCAGAGGTGACATTCTTACAAATCAGGGAAATAAAAGTACCATGATGCGTCAGCAAAGCTGGTTAAAAAGACATACTCAGAAGAGTTGCCAGGAACTTGCTGGCAAAAAGGTAGCATTTATCTAAGAGATCAGACACTGTAGCCACAAAAGACAAATCCTTAAGGAACTAGGATTCATTAGCTGAAGCTCAGAGAAGTACTGGCTTAGAACAGGTTAGACTTACTTCTAGTACAAACAGTTTAAGGGTGGTTGATCCACACTTGAGGCAGAGGAAGAGGCTAGATAAGTTTCACACTATTTTCTTAATCAGTAGACCTTTATTTTAAAGGCTGATGAATTAGCTTCCATCCAGTTACAGGTTGATGGGGGGGGGATTGTTAAATAAATAAAATGGTAAGTAAACATTGTGACCATTTTACAAAATCACCATTTTGCAGTTTAAAGTATTTTAATGAGGTATGGGAACCACTATATCACTCGCCTTAAAATATACTTCTTGGACACTGATGAATATTGCATGTATCTCAGATTTGCATGCGTCTCTTGTCTTTCAGATAGCAGGTTGAGTAACAGTGATGTTGAGTAACAGATGACATCTCAGGTTCTCCCGTAGCCATATTTTAATGAAATCAGATACTTGGTAATGTTTCCTACCTATCTGTTCACTGTTTAAACTAGTTCTGATATTCTTTGGAATGGAAAGTACTTAGATGCTGTTTGCCTCTGTTATTTATTTTTATTATTATTGATTAGGCAGACTTCTCGTTTGTGGCCCCCTCCTTCCTTTGCCGCCCAAAATACATAGAGGTATTAGTTTCAATGATTCTGAAACACTAGATACGCAGTATTGACCAGGGGCCAATCCATTAAGGTATTTCTAACTTCTTGATAATATCCTACCTTTTGTCTTCACTTATGAGTGAATAATCAACTGACTTCTTCCACCTTGGAAAAGATGTTTTAAAAAAATCTTACCATTTTCATTACAAAATATTTAAGTAGAATGGTGCCATTTGTAACATGAGTTTCAGGCCAGAGAGGAAGGTACCCAACACCCAGAATCATTAAAAAATCCAGAACACAACTTTGCAAACAAATATATGTTTAATTGCATTGTATAATGGATTTATAGTTGTTAAATATATTATTTTACTGTATAATTTATCGTTCTTCCAGTTCCTTTAGCAGTTCGTCAAAGTGAGTAATGTACCATTTAGCTTTCTCCTTCACTTGCTTTCTGATTACATTTCCTCCAAATCCAATGAAGCAGTCCTGGCAAAACAGAAAGAATGGGCACGTAAATTATTGCAGTCCCATGTAAGGAATGGAGCTTCTCAGCAATTAAGATTGGATTTTTAAATTACAGTATTCCTCCCTGCCTCTTCCCCTATTTTACTTTGCATGTTCATTTTTCAAACTTATTAACAAGAACTTCATTAACATTTAATTTTGCACCGCTTTGGTTATTAGAGTTTTGTTCCAATAGGAAAGTTGTGTCTCAGTGCCTTGTAACTTCAAGACTGGTCAGACCTGAGATTTTACTGCAAATCTGATGTAAATGTGATGTAACATAAGGCCTTACTATTCAAGAATGAGTTAACATTGGAACATGCATGCAGCATCTCACAATTATGGCTATACTGTTTATCTTAACTCTGTTTACTTCATTTGATAGATACCAAAAGTAAACATTAACCATGTCTTCAATCATTAACCAGGAACAGTCATAATTTCTACATCTTAGAAAACCATCTGCAGTGAAAGTGCAGCGTTTAAAATTTCCACTGCTGCTGTTTTGCCTTTAGGTAGAAAGCATTAAGGAAATACTAAGCTGCTTTGGTCATGCACATATTTAACAGTAAGGGAGCAGCTGTCATAACTCTCATCAGCAGTCGTTCTCAAGAATTTGTTTCTGTGCATTTCCATGTGCTGGGAGATCTGTCCCTCAGCATTGGGTATTGGGGTACTTTTATGTAGAGAAAGTCATTAAAGGGGAGAGGGAATTGAGATCTCTGTGAAATGACCATTTATATAAGTTGTCTTTCTATTCATTTTTTTATTACTTCACCCTGTCAGGGCTGATATCTTCAAAGGTGTCATCACTGTACAGTGAGATGAACTCTCTTGCTAGGCCAGTATGAGGCAAATGTGTGCCAGATCGTGGCAGACCTTCATGCTAAGCTCCGTTCGTCAGCGTTCAGAACCAGGATCTTGGCAGGGTAAGACCTCTGCACAGAAGCAAGCACTTACTGGGGGGACATAGAGGGGAAAGGAAGACGTGGTAATACCAGCTTGATCTGAGACCGGTCGCTAGACTGTTACACAGTCCTGTTGGAGCCAGCCAGCACCCTGGCTCAGGGGGTGACGCCCTTACTGAGATTGAACTGAGAGAAATCAACCATTGCATGATGCAGGCTTTCTAGAGGAAAACTACCTACACAGATATCTCTTAGGCTGTGGGAAGTGCTAAAGATCTTCCCTGAAGTCCTATAAAGAGTTTAAACCGCACTTTTTTTCCCCCCGTCCCAAAGGATTTTCTCAAAAGGAATTTAGAATTCCAGTTCTTTAATACTTACAGCGGGGGGACAGGCTTCCATGTCTGTAGCTCCATCTCCAATCATAACTACTTTCTTAAAGTGGAACTGTTCCTTCAGCTGAGTAATAACCTTTCCTTTTCCCCCTGATTCAGCTGTTGGTTGTGTTTCATCAAATCCTGCATATTCTCCTAGAACACAGTGGAAGGACAAGTTAGACACATGGCCTATTTTCTTGTAAATGAAGAAAGGTATATGCCTACAGTCTTTACTTCAGAAAACAGCAAATTACATGCAGTCTTGTAAGCCTCACAGTATCGGCATCCCAAAAAAGTATTTAGAAGCTGAGTGTAAAAACTAGGATTTTACCCAAGTCTTCAGTGGGGATATTTTCAAGGAGCTGAAATACTACGACAAAAGTAGAAACCCTGTATGGGTAGTGTTAAAAATCCATTCCTGGTTACTCTAGTCCAGTCATTCTGGTGTAAATATTTCAAAAGCAGTATCCAGTATGATATATAGACAGTGTATGAAACACTGAGTAAGAAACAACCTCACTAACCACAGTTCTGCTTGATTACACTAGCTTAAAGTCCAGAGCAGCTCTTCTAAAATACGTCGGTCTCCATACATACCTCAAAGTCACTGAAAGTAAAGTTTGCCTCTGAAAGCGGGTAAGTGTAATAAACTCTTTTAACTTGAAGGAGTGAGCGAAAATTAAATTCTGCTGTCAGCAGCTGTAACATGTTTTACCTTTGGCACAGCTTGCAATTAAAAAGTAACTACAGCTCTATTTCACATGTCTGGAAAATGACCTGAACTCATGTTTTTGATGAGGTCTTGCAGTTTTCCTACTGGGAGCTAGTGGGATTGGTAACAAGGTCCTGTAGACTGGACAGTATCTGTAGCCCGGTATCTGACAGTTGGAACCAAAAAAGAGCAGAGAAAAGAGACTTGAAGGGAATCTCACCATTAAAGTAAAACTTCAGCCTGTTGGCAAAGACGTTTGCTGTTGGAATGTTCAGCTGCGAGGCCACGTGCTCCACGATGCTCTGAAACCCCCCTGAGACCAAGAATACCTGGACCCCTCGTTGATGAAGCCTGTTCACCAGCTCCCTGAGAAGAAAGAGCAGTCACCAAGCGTGAGTGCCTGGCAGCAGCTAGGGATCACAAGGAAGTTAAAATACATCTTTCCAAAACAAGGCTGCCCATACTTTGTGTTATTCCAGTTTAGTGAGGATGTGTGCTGCTTCCCAGCTCCATCCACCTCTGCTGCCCAAAGCTTTTCCTTCTTTCCCTTGGAAGTTTGTGCATACACCTCACATGAAAAGACCTGAACAAAACCATCATGTCCAGAGATAAACAGGTATTTAGCTGCCCAGAAATGTTTTCTTTACAATTTCACGCTGTTCACATTAGTTCCTTTGAACAAGTGAGAGCAGATCCAGTTCAGATTTTTTTCTGAAGTGAAGTAAAACAACAGCAAGAAAATGAATCTATAATGCAGAAAAAAGTAGGAAATGTGGGAGGAGATAAAGCCGCTACACCAAAATGAAAAAGTGGGCTGAAAAGTGTGCAAAGGGCAAACATTTTCTAACTTGGAGCTGGTTCCCCAGATGCTCGGCATGGATGCCATCTTTAGAAGAGGGCACTGACTACAGAAAAGGAATCAAAAGACAGTTTTGGACCCAGTTAATGTCAACGGAGCTTAAAGGTAGTTAAAAGTTTTACAGGATTTGGCTCTAGAAGCAGGAAGATCAGCATGCAGCAGTGCTGAGCTGCAGAAGTGGTAGTAGTAACAGCAGAAATGCTGAATACTAAAAAGCAAAGTGGAAGCTTAAAGCAGGCTACACAGAAAAGGAGGAAGAAAAGGAAGGAACAAAAAGGAAAATCATGTGATTCTGAACAAGGAAACAATGTTCTCTTTGTAGTTGCATCTAGCTATGCCTTCTACAGAAAAAGCTGAGCATGTGCTTCATTTCAAGGAGAAAATACAAGCACAATATCATCTGAAACTACTGTACGTGCTAAAAATATTTTACTTAGAGCTATGGCCAGATTTTGTAGTAAAGAAATTCTTTTCAGTTGTTTGAAACAATTTGAATAGGAAAAACCCCACCTTTTCAGTTTAATGTTTATTCCAAACCCAGAGATGAATGAATACACCCACATCTGTGTATTTCCCCTTAATGATTTTTTAATACTTTTTTAGGAACTTCTGTACAGAATGAGTAGCTCTGAACACTGGATCCCCTAAAGCTGAGTCCAGGGGTGTGACTGCACACACAGGTGTAAGAGAGAGGTAAGACATTTGCAGAATAGACCAAGCCAATAGTTCATACTGGGTATTAAATCTACTCCCAGTTCCATTGCCCATCAAAAAATGGATGTGATTGAACAGATTATTTTCCATGTCCATTTAATCCTCAAGACAGAATTTGAGTTTGCCAGCCAAAATCCCAGTTCACACCTAAGACTTTTCTTTTTACATGGATTCTTAGCCACTTGACATGGACTCAGGCCATTATTAGCTCCTGATAGATGCTTTGTACACAAACAACATGGAAATGGAGTGGGAAGGCAATCTAAAGCAGCTCTGTGGTCTTACAGCTTCACTAATGTCACAGAACTTTGTTGATTTACAGCATGTGCTTTTGGAAGACTTTTTCATTAGATTGATTGAAATTATTCTTACCTTATTCCTGGTGTTAGCTGAGGTGGGCTGTCAGATATTAATTTCTGCACTTGCTCATAGGAGGGACGTATGAGACCTAGTCGTGCCGTTAAAGCTGCTTTGAATGTCACAGTGCCACCCATAGCTCTGCGGGTCCTAAATTGTGATCCAAAGAAAACAAATCGGTGACACTTAACAAGTTGAGGCTTCTCCCGAGAACAGTTAGATAAAGAATGATGAGGAACAAGGTAAGAGCCCATAGGTTCCAGGTTAAACCGTATCTATGTTGTAAAGGAGAAGATTGGTACACTGAAAAGATTGGTAGCAACCACTGGTAGAAGATCTCCACAGATCGGAGCTCTTGTGAGAACCAGTAAAGCAAAGGAAAATGCTTCATTCCCTCTGTGAGTGCGTCTGAGCCACTGGGACCAGCATTCCTAAACTGCAGCTCGGGTGCTGTTCTCTGATGTTAACTTCCTGCAAACTTCAATGGAAACAACATCAGCCTCAGAGAGTGTTGAGAGTTGTCCCCTCTCCTCCATCCCATAATAAGGTTTGCTACTGCTTAGCCAAGTTTAATGATGAAAGTTGACCTTAGTCTACTGAAGAAATTTACGTTAGCGAATTTATGTCAGTACAGTTTTGTTGAGTGGCTTCACAATTCCAAAAGAAGTCAGTTACTTCATTATGGATTAATTCCACTTATTATTCCTAAAATTCTTCTTAAACTGTCATAATCTCCTGTGAGAGAGTTGAATTAATCCCTATTGTAAAGTCATTGTCACAGATTAACCTTATCTGTACTTATTTTTTACCACTATTCCTATGAAGTAAATGGCAAATATACATACATCTCTGCGACGGCATCTCCGACTCCACAGAACTTCGCAAGCTCATCAATGCCCTCTTCCCTGATGACCGTACTGTCCACATCGAAGCATACTGCATCAGCATTGCGGAAGATTTCTTTCATCTCCAAGAGGGATGCCATCCTTTTAGGAACCTTCTTACTGTGAGGGGACAAGATAAAGTCTTTCTCTGAGTGATAGTACTGCACTCCGTCTTGAGCCATTGGTGTAACTGATCTGGTTCTTGCGAGTAGGGACGAGCACAGCCTGGTAGCCAGCTTTTATCAAAGAGTGGGAGCGGTGGTGGAGGTCTGGCTCGGTTGCTGATTTGCTCCCTCCCGTTGCTGCCTATTGATGTTCAATTTACGTTACAGGTGGGCCGTGGAGCTCTGGTCAGTTGCTGATTTGCTCTCTGCAGGCTCTGCCCATTGATGTTCACGTGGGGTTCAAGGTTGTGATACTTGGCATTTGCTGAACCATCAGACTGCCAACTGCTGTGTGGGACTTGCAATCCTCATCTCACCCTCACCGCTCAAAATGGATCTTGATTTCTCATCAGACCTGGCCTAGTGTGTCAAGTCAGTTGCTCCAGGAGATTGTAACCCATCCCTTAAGGATTTGCTTGATTGCAGTAGACATAACTACCTTAAACCTCTCAGTGAGTGGTTGTCCCTAAGTCATGAAGGTTTCAATCCTTTTCTATGTCCTGATTAATATAAACTAAATATTCTCATAATCTGTGAATGCATTGAACATTTGGCCATTAAGCATTGGGAATCAGTCTTTTATAAAACCCAGTCGAGTTTTGGGCTTTCGGAACTTCACTCAATGCCTTAAGATATCACAACTTCATGACACAACCTTTTCTGTTGCAATGCCTGACAAGTTTCTTTTCTTCCCTTTTATATCTGTCCACTTAAAAGTGCCGTTGCGCACTATTTCTTCCATAGATCAGAAGCACAAGGTGTTAACCAGGTATTTTCTTACTCTACCATACTCAGCTTGTGCTTCACCCTCTCATAAGGGAATTCAGCATGTCATTGCTATTTACCAATCCGTACATTTAGACACAAGTACAACTTTCTACCTATCTTACTTCCCAGATTTTTGTAAAACCTTTTGTTTGGTTGTCTCTTCTAATCTCCTAGACATCTCTCAGGACACGTCTTGTGTAATTGGTCTGGGTAGCAGGTTCTCTCTTTTTCTGGGATAGGGGAAAAAATATCATCAAACAGCACGTTATATACCTTTGTCACGTTATATACCTTTGTCTGTTCCTCTTACTACAATAGTGGTTTTTTTCTCCTATATATTGTGAATTTTGCTGGTGAGAGGTCTTACACACAAGTTCCCACAAAACATTTCTTTTTTGCCCTTTTTGGACAAACTTTGCACCCCTAGATACAAAAGACATCCAGTGAAGATGGAGAAGATGATCACTGCATAGCTTGCTGTGGAAAAGTACAGGAGCTGATCAGTCCTGGTGTGGCTCACCACCAGGCAGGAGTCATCCAGGGATCACACAAGGTGAGCACCAGTGCTGCTTCCTGGGGTGAATTCTGTGTGCTCACGGAGAGATCACAGCTAAATAGTTAATGATCAAAGCAGGAACAAGAACCTTTGGTGTTATTCCCATGGCTAGTAACCATATGGTGAATAGTGGGATACAAAAGGCTTTATGAAAAATTCCCATAATCACTGAAAAAATGTATAGAACACACACTCATCTTTTATCTGTTTATGTGTATGGAATAAAATAGAATACTCCAGTCCTTCACTGAAAGGTGAAAGTTTGTATAAATGAAGCCACCAAACCTAAGGGGTGAAACCTGTTGTGACCAGCTAAGAACCATATTTGTAAGAGATAATCTCTGATTAACAGGTAGATATGAAATAGCAAGAAACAGAGAGAGCAGGTCACGTGAAAGGCAAAGCTATCCAAAGGCAGCCATGACACAGTACTGTTTGAGAGGGTCATTCTAGCTATTCTTGAGTTTTTTGGTGTGAACACACTAGTGTAGTAACCAAAGTGGGTTCATGGCTTTTGCACAAGGTTGAGGAGATGCAGTAGCTTCCTCAGTGCTCATCTGCATCGCAGGTGTGAGTGAGAATGGGAGAGCAGGTATCACCCAGCCCATACCTCCCTCCTGTGAATTCGGTTTAGGTGTGGGAAGGTAGGACAGAGCATGGGCTCAACCTCCACAGCATGCCAGAAAGCAAAGGTGAGTGGGCACACAGTAAAGAAGAGATATTCCAGAAAAGGGCTTTTACAAACTCCACCTCTGGGAAGAGCAGAAACAAGGACTGAACCATAGTTTGACAGGTCTCTGCTCTTGGTGCATCAGAGCTGTTCCATGCATGGACATATCCTAAAACTCTGGTCTAGCCTTAGAAGCATCACTAAAGAATTATTTGTTGCAGACAGAACTTGTTTTTTATATTTTTTTATAAAGACTGCACTGTACATATAAGAAATACAGTCATATGCCATCAGCACGGCACATAAGAAAAACCTCTCTTCTATTTCAAAATTTTGGAAATAAAAACTTCCCTCTGACAGAGACTGGTTCTGAGCCAAGACTTGGCAGCGGGTGGACAGATCACACGTGAATTCCACGTTTACTTTGCGTTAGCCTTGACTTGACACTGGCTCCACAGCACTGTGTTTGCATTTTCAGTGGAAGATTTTGATTTTCTGAGCAGGAGGACTTTGCCGTTAGGGCAGGCCTTGACAGACGTTTACTAGATACACTTGTGCAGTGGAATTAAAAAAATAAATCCACTAACATTTTTTAAATGGCAGGGCATTAATTTTTTCCAGTCTATTGGAAATTATAAGTTCCACCAAAAATTCAGCCATGGGTTTGCTGCCAATTTTAAAGATTTGCTCTACTGGACAAACTTGTTGCATCACTGTGGCATGACATTTGCGTCACGGTGTTCCAACACTGATTCCTTATTATGCAAAGCCATCACATTGCCTCATGCTAACCTGAGGCTGCACTGCAACATTACCATGGTATGACGCAATGTCACTGTGTGGGGACACCACGCTGTGATGTGATTTCCTGGTGAGAACCTGAAATAGATTTCTGGATACATGTCTTCAAAATTTTAATATCTCTGAGAAAAATGTTGTCACTAGAAACACACATTGGAAGTGGGAAAGAAGAGACATTAACTCTTCCTTCTCGCTGGTATCCGTATTTCCCATACTTCTTTCCCCTCTGGATGCTCCTTACAATGGCAAGACAACCACTGTGGTGGACAAATAGGTAAGTTAGAGGAAGAATTATGGATATCAGTTGTGGAGCCATGGTTGTAATTAACCCTGTCCTCTCTTTGTTCCATGCAATAACTCTTTCAAGAGAGTTTCAAGCTGTGCTTTATAGTGCCTAAAAACGACAAGTTGGTAATCATAGAGTGTTTTGGGTTGGAAGGAACTTTTAGAGGTCATCTAGTCCAACCCCCCTGCAGTGAGCAGGGACACTGTTAACTAGATCAGGTTGCTCAGAGCCCCATCCAACCTGGTCTTGAATGAAAGGGAGGATTGCATTTTGAAATGCAGAAACCATCAGTAGTTCCTGACCTCCCTTGGCCTGTGACCTGCTAAAATCTTTCCACTTTCTGCTATAGCTGGGCTGTATTCCTGGGAAAAGTCCTTTCTGTTTTATTCCTGGAAAACACAGACCTGGTTTTGGCTAATGTATCATCACACGTGTTGGAGAACGTGCGATGAACTGTAAAGCAGGGAAGCTCATACAGGAGGAAAAGGAGAACCTATGAAGGAAGCTTCAGCTATTGCAGGGACTCTTGCTGGTGGGAAAAACAAATTTTAGGAGTTAAAGGTGGTTCACTTGGAGTGAAATAAGGTTCTTCTGCCCTTGTTGGCAGAGCTCCAGGCGTCACCACCAGCTCCAGAGTCTGGCAAATGCCATTCCAAATGGTAACATGCCAATTTCAGTAACTTGTGATTTTTTTTTCCCAGCCCTAAATGTAGATGAGAGCATAAGGCACCACCAGGAAGCTGCCTAGAATTCACCTCCAGGCAGGTGCGCACAGGAAATAAGGACAGACACAGTAGCTTGTCCACAGGTAGGTGTCACTTGGAAACATGAGCAAAAAGAATTGAAGCTGTGTAAAACCTTTCTATGGACAAATCTCTAACAGCAGTAGTAAGGGAACAGCAATTTTTTATTCCAGAGTGGTATAAGCCTCTACAGTTGGCAGAGATTAATTACTCTGAAACAGAGAGCATCTGATTGCTTAAATGCATCAGTGTTTTAGTGAGATGGTAAGAAAAAAGAAGTTCCCACAAATAACGTGTTCTGCCTCCATATGAAAAACATGGGTAGAAAATCTGATCTTTCTGCCACTGAATTTCAGACAGGTAGTCTCTTCCTATCCTATTATTCGTGTGCTGGAAAAGCATCCAAGCACCAAACATTTCAACAGGTCTGATAAAATATTGTGGGGAAAAGCAGAAAAGAAGAAAATGGGGAAGAGAAGAAACAATGGGCAATGAAGTGACTAGAGAAGACATGAGAGTGGCAGAGGGAGAGAGGTAGGGTGAAACTTGAGATAAAGATGGAGAAAACAGAAATCACAAAGGAAAAGCGGAATTCCCATGAGATCTCCTTGCCTCCAGACTATGAGGTGCTTCATCAGGCCATTTGGAAAAAAACTGGAATTTCCACAAGAAATAGTTCCATTGCGTAACAGAGCGTGGAGTCACAGAAGCAAGCACAGGAATTATGTAAGACCGCGTGTCAAAGGAAAACAACTGAAATCTTTTCTGTTTGCTGACCCTTCAAAGAAGGGCACTTGCTGCACTGTGGAAAACTGAAAGATCCACAGTATCAGCTACATAAAATGCCAAAGGAACAAGTAAATGGTGCTCCTGGTGTTCTGGGGCTGGTACGTTTTGATGAGATCTTGACAGGATCTCAAAATCCTCATTGTGACTACACTTCGCTTGTTATTGTATTTCAGCTTTCAGAAGTGCTGCCACGCTGCTACTTTGCATTATGCTCACTTTTATTGCTGTGAAAAAATGATGAAGTGAATCTTAATGAAATATTACCTAGAATATCTTTTCAAACAGATGGCTTGGGAATATCCTAGTTTGCAAACAGTTCCTGGTGTTTCTGATTCTGATTCAGTTTCCCAGCGAGGTGAGAGCGAGCACTTCACTGAGATCCACTGTGAGATATGTTCCCGCGGCGGAATAACATTGCACTGAACATGCAGCAAGCTTAACAGAAATGCACCCACATTAAACTGTTTCTGTTGCATTGAAGGGAAACGGCTGCTTAGAGTAAGGGATTTGGAGAAAATGGTTCTTGAAACTTTCCTGAGGATCTATTCCCACTACAGGAATGGTCCCACTTGTAAGAATGTTCACAGGAGTGTTTCCATGGTATTAAGTTTAAAGAACCACTTAATCCTCATTGTTTTTAGTCCTATGTCTGTAAAATGGGAATAATATAGTGATACAGCTTTTCTATGCTGAGTTTTAATTCTCAATATTAGCAATATGCTTGGAAAGCTTTAGAGGAAAGGGAAAATGGTTCTTGAAACTTTCCTGAGGATCTATTCCCACTACAGGAATGGTCCCACTTGTAAGAATGTTCACAGGAGTGTTTCCATGGTATTAAGTTTAAAGAAACCACTTAATCCTCATTGTTTTTAGTCCTATGTCTGTAAAATGGGAATAATATAGTGATACAGCTTTTCTATGCTGAGTTTTAATTCTCAATATTAGCAATATGCTTGGAAAGCTTTAGAGGAAAGGGGATACATTTAAGCAGACTAGTTATATTTAAGCAAATTGTGACTGTTGTTTATATCCCTGCTAGTACTACTCTTTAAGTTCAACCTATCCATCCACAATTGTGTTTCTGTGGTTTTCAGTGTGAGAATAGAAAGACTCAGTCCTTAACCTCGCTAAGCTTGCGTCACACTTCCTGGTTTTCTGTTCAGCCTTTAAAGGTAGTAATACAAACCTGTATGCGAGTCAAGAGATGAATTGTTTGCAGCTATACATGAATATCTGAACAGCAGTGCCTAACAGTGAATTTATGTAAGCACCTTTTAAAAAGTAATCGAAAAGGGGTAGAAGGAACCTGATGGATGTTGACATACACCTCCCAACTCTCCAATCCCCTCTTGCCTGTCCTGACTAAACGATGATGCTTCCCCCCTGCACGATTGCATCATTCATTCATGCTGCTGTTATAAAACCGGCACCACGCTGCTGCTGCATCTTGCAGGGCAGCACAGTCACAGCCCCAGCAGAAGAGACTCTTCATTTTCTATGCTAGAAAAATACGGTGTTACGGATCTGATAAGCCAAACGCCAACCCCTTCCAAACTGAGAGAAAAAAACGTTCCCAGCGACTTACAGTATTGTACTGGCCGTGGCTGTTGCTGCCGCTGCAAACCTCTTGGCTGCACAAGAAAAGAAGGGATCAGCTGAGACCTTCAGTCACATAAATACAGCGGCACGGGCTGATCTGGAAGAAAGCTGCATTTTGTAAATCACTCTTTTATAATCTGCTGAGTAAGCCAGCCTGGATGTGTTTTTTAAATGGTTGCACACATGTAACCAGAGAAGTCCAGCTGTTCGCTGACAGGCGTAGGGAAGAGAGGTGTAACCTTGCGTTGGGGGAGGAGCCGCTCGGGCCCAGTTTGGGGCAATCCCAGCTTGGGTAGGCACGGCTTGGCTGGCAGCAAGCCCTGCATGAGATGATGGGGAGCTTGTTTGCCCATCAGCCAGCCTGTGCGGCAGGCATGGAGAGCAAGACAGGTCTTAAGAAAGTCGCTCTGCTCCAGGCAGAGCGCCAGGGCAGGAGGGTGAGGGACGAGAGCCGAGGAGGGGCTCTGATAAGCAGCAGCCAGGAGTTTCTCTGGGCGTGAAATCAGAGGCGAGGCAGGGACACGGTTTTCTTTCACTGTGGACGAGATGAAAGGTTTTGTGAGTTAAGATTGCAGTATCTATCGTATTTTGGCTTAAGCCGTCACTTAGAGTGCGCAACATTACACACCAAAAAAAATCAAAATTCATCAAAAGCTTTGAAGGCAAAATTAAAACTTCTGCTTATGAGAAGGCTCTGTTTTGTTTCCCCAAGTGTAATGCTGTCAAAAGCAACGGAAAAATTGCAAACCCTGTCTGTGCTTGTGTTTCGGCATCCCACAGAAGAGCTTCTTCCCTCAGACATGACTGTGGACACTGGTTAGAAAACCAGAACTACAAGGCTGGTTGTTTGGTTTGAGGTCAAGAAAGCCAGATTTACTTGATTTAGTTTCTTTCATTTGTTTGTGATAGGAATCTTATGATTGCTGCCCACCTTGAAAGACTGTTCTGCACCCTTGGATGCACCAGTCACACTCTGTGCATGATCTCTGTTGCCATTCTAGCAGTATTACCCCTCAAAATTACATGCATTAATGAAAATCAATAGCCTTGGGTGCCTCTCCTCCCATGTCTCCCTTTCTGTTTTTTCGGAAGTTCTCGGTACATGACCGTTTGTCAACATGAGCATCTATTTGTAACTTCTTGTGTGAGGAAAAGCGGGTACTGAGCCCCTTTGCTGCAAAACTGGTGGCATGGTTCACTGTTCAGTCTGGTCCTGTTTGTTAGTTTTATCATGGCAGGATAGCATGTTTTTAAAAGAGATTTAGGAATAATTTCTGTGAATAAGGTTAAATGAAAACACATCTTCATAAAGATGAAAGAAAATCTCAGAGGTTTTTTTTGCCAAGACAAGCAGTGCATGATTTGGCTAAGAGAATTGCTGCTGAGTATTTCATGAAGGATATTCCTTTTATGTGGCTTAGTTTAACAGACACTTTGGTTGTCATTCAGTTAGATATTTTGAGTCTAATCTGGTCTAATTTGTTGTAAATCCATTGATTTCAAAGGACAATTTAGGCCTAGTAAGCATCTGCCCTGTATTTTTGCTATGCATTAAAAACAAATATGCAGAACAGTTCAACAACTACAGCTAAGATTGAAAAATGTAGAAAAGCTTGCCCTGATGTGTGAAAAATGCTGCAAAATGGGGATTTAATGTGAAAATGATAATGAGAAATGTTCCTATACCGTAAAATACCTATCCTCAGACACATGATCCAGGAAAGAAACACAGAGAGTTTTGCCTGGAAGCTTGAAGAGGATATTGAGGAGTGAAAAGCACAGCTCATGTGGATGTGTGACTATCAACACAAGCACAGCAGCTCACTCTTGTACTTGACTATGAAATCTCCCTGTTTGTACAAAAAGCAGAGACCACCTACATGAAGGACTAGAAAACCTTTGAAAATGGCTTTCCTTTTTTTCTTTTTTAAAAAATTCCCATCTAAAATTCAAATTCAATTTTCCTATAACAATTGCTTTATCTTCTCAGAGTAATAATTCCCCTCACAAACCTGAACCTGCTTGAGGAATGGCTGTGTCACTGTCAGCAGCCAGCCCCACGCGTCGCAGGTGTTTAGGGTGGATAACTCCCACCTTTCCACCAGACATCACCCACGAGGGCCACAGAACAGCAGCAAGGAAAATATAAAATACAGCATGCCGGCAGGTATGGGTATGGGTTTGACAAGGCTGCCCTCTGCTGAGAACAGCCCCGAGAGACGATCAAGGCAAAAAAATTACAAACCAGAGAAGCAAGAATAGTAAAATATTTGCATGTGACCTGTTGGCTACAGAATCCAGGGCAGAGCTGGGGGTTCAGGTGATATAACTGGGCATTGCATCTGGGCACCTCCAATATTAGTGCTGCAGCCTCTCAGGGCTGGGTTGACGTGTTGTCTTTTGTTACGGTTTCAGCAGGCCAGTAGCATCCCAACAAAAGGGAAGACTAAACATTAACAGGGTTCCAGAGCCGATGATAAAATGCCAAGTGTAATTTCCTGCATTTTGCAAGGTTTAATGTTTATCTCTAATTTTTAGTTACAGAACAGAAAGCCCAGCCACTATACTAGAGTCAGCACTAAAATATTCCACAAGACATATGCACTGCTCTGCTAAACAAAAGAGCTCCAAACTTGTGCTCTATTATGCTCCATCTAAAGTATTTAAAAACCAGAAACCCAAGCATATTAGCAGCTGTCCCCTCCAGACCTGCCAAGTCAGACTGACAGGCAATGCACAGGAATCCTCCTGCACAGAATGGCATTTTGCCTGGAAACCTGAGATCCTCGCCCAAAGCAGCAGCGCGGATTCCCAGCAGGTGCCATAGCCTCCTGCCAAAACCAGCGAGGCTGCTGAGCCTGCCCTGACACTTGACGCTCACCGACTGTCAGTCAAGCTCCCCCAAAACAAGCCCGGCATCGAGGGCTGTGTCCAGGGCTCCCTGCTGCCAAGAGTGGGAGGGAGTGGGGCAGATTTACCCTGTGCCATCCTCATGCCTGGCCGATGAACACTGGGGGAGGCTGTCTGTCTTCTCTGTACCAAATACTGATGAAATCCTGGTCTCGGGGCCAATTGTTCCTGTTTGCTGGGGGTTAGCACACTCCAGAGCAGACAGGCTGCAGGAACACCAAAACCCCCTTGGCCTGGATCTCCCTGGCACACCTCTGTAGCCACAGGCAATCATGCTCTGGGGGTGGGCACCTTCCTTACAAAATACTTTAAATAACAAGAGGGTTGTGTCACGCCTGATACTGCCAGTTGCTCAGAAGCAGCACATGGGTGTTTGGGGGTACGAGCCTGGATGGGGCAATGCAGGAGCCAAACTCAGTGCAATCTGTGCCCGCAGTGTGTCTGAGGAGCTCTGGTAGGAGCTCTCTTCTCAAGATCCTCCCAAGGGAAACTGTCAGTTGTCCTCCATTCGGGAGCCCAAAGCCAGGAAGAGGCAAACATTGTGCAGCCTCAAGGACTGGGCCCTGACAGGCCACGCGGGCCCAACGCTTCCAGCACCCAGCAAGGTTGCCTTGACTTCAGCAGTATTTCTGGTTTTCTTCCACAGGCCTCACAGGAAACCTCTGCGTGGCCTTGGGAGAGATCGTCCCCCGTGCTTAGAGCCTTGTGAAGGGCTCAGGCCCACAACGGCCTGGGCGTGCGGGGCTGCGCGGCGGCAGCTCGGCAGGACCCAGCAGCCCCGGCGGTAGCTTCTGTATTAAGACGAGTTTTGATTAACCTCAACTGATTTTCTACCAAGAACCATTTTGATTATTAATCCGGGCCGCTTAACCATTAATTCTATCGACCTCATGTTAAATCACCGGGTTTAATTATTCTCACGGTTCTGCGAACCTGCTGGGGGGGGGTCTTGTCACCTGAGCGGGTGGCAGGCCACGTTCAA